TTTAGGAAATTTTATTTCCCACATTTAACTTCACTTGTAAATTAATAAACATTTAATATAAATTCTAATAATAATTTATTAAATAATTTATAAATCCTGAAACAAAAATCAGGATGTGACATGTGTACTGTATTATGGTCTCACTAGTGCCCAGTTTAGGTAAATGCTTCGCCATTTAAATTAGACAAACTTTAGGTGGTTTTATAACTCTAGACTTTGGGAGTTCTCATATCATTTGGACATTATGAAATGGTTGGCTCATGTGGAATTTGACACAAACCTTCCCCTCAATTCAAAACTCCCAAAATGGTTTTAGGCTGGGCTCGAGGTGCATGGTTTTGATAGTAGCACCTCGGTCACTATAAGGACCGATCTTCGGGCCTCTGTTGCAAAGCACTACCGTACTTCCACATGTCTAGTTGGTAAGGTGTAGTTTGTGGCTCAGTCTGGTCATGGGCAAAAGTACACGGATAGAGATGGACGAAGTCGGGGCTCGATGGACATCTCTAGGGCAAATGAAATGAAGGCTACACGACCTGCGGCTCGGTAGTCGAGATGTCATGGCACAGGGCCGGTGTCCTGCTGCTAGGGGCGCAACCTTGGTTACTTGTCTCGGGATTCCGGCCATAGCCAGGGTTGGGTCGGTACTCTTGTTTATGGCTAGGATGGGTTGGGAACTATGTCACGTCTTCCGTCCGTATGCCGTGGTGGTATGTGGCGCGTGGTTACACGTGAGGAAGACGTGTCTTGTGGGTAAAGATGTACACCTCTGATCAGAGTATAATCTATTCGAATAGCCGCACCCTCGGTTATGGGCAAGCCTAGCAATGTACCCAAGTTAGTGGTTTATTCCTTAAAACTTGCTTAACAACTAAAATGTGAAATGGTTGGCCTGGGTTGGCTTGGGACAAGCTAGGACCTGGGTTTGGTTGCCAATTCGATCTGAATCATCATAGGCCTTGGGTTAAAGCATGTTCGTGTGGGTTCACGGCCTTGATTAATAACACTGTGTAGCTCTAGGATCGTCTTTACAAAAGGGCCCTGAGCAACTAAATGTCTTCTAAATGCTGTTTACTGTAAATCCTAACCCCTATATTATAACCCCCTTTACTCCTTTGCATTTATTCTGCATTTGTGGGTGTGTCTTGCTGAGTACGGTGGTTGTACTCAATCTTGCTCAATTTTTCCCTAACCCAGAAGAGGAGTTCCTGGAGGATGAAGGCTTTGGTGTGTACCTCGTGCTTGCCGTCAAGCGCCTATGGACGTCGCCCTAGTCTTCCGCTGTTTTTCGTTTATCTTCGTGTGTGGTGGGCCTTCGTTGCCCATGTAATAAATTAACTATTTACGCTTCTGCTTATTAAACTCTGAATTGTATCAACTTTTGGTGTACCTTGCCTCCTGGGACAAGGAATAATACACGCACATATGGAATGCCTGTTGGGTTAATTCTGGTCATGACAAGTTGGTACCAGAGCCAGGTTGACCCTAGGACGAGCCTTAGAACCCAAGCCTTAGCAGTATTTTGAAACAAAAATCATCTCTTATTTGTGAAAATCCTTTAGTCTTTCCCTATCTTGCTGCTTCATTTCTCATCAAAAGCTGATCTCTGAAATTATTCTTTTGGCTTTGTTTATAGATGGCCGACAACCTCAACCGTCGTGGTCTGGATCTGACTGGCTTTGCTTTGGAGCTACGGGGCATGTGCGTTGTCCTGGGATATCTGCATGGAGTGGACTACCAGGGTAAGAAGCTTCCGGAGCAGGATGGTGACGATGCGGAGCCCCGTGCCGCTTGGGAGGTCACTGCGGTGATCCTCACCGGCTCTCCCGAGAGGAATTCGCTGGCAGTCACCGTGGGTGGAGACTCCTTCCCCACCGCTTGCCAGAACGCAGCACTCCTCGCCATCGGCACTCTTCACCAGCGCTACCCGGACGAGTTGCAGCACTCGCCCTACCGCTACCACCCTCGTCGTGGAGGAGCCTGTGACTATGCCACCTTCAGGGATGCTAGCTCGGAGGATGATGCTACCATCATGCATCTGGCGCGCATGGTGGAGGCATATGACATGGCCCGTATCGACTTCCATCATATGGTGTGCCGTGGTTTGGTCGAGAACAACATGAAGATCCTGGAGCTGTGTCAGGAGAATTTGCAGCTGAACCCTCGGCCGGTCGCTGCCCTCGACCTGTAGCTGCCCAAGTACACCCCCCACCACCTGGCCAAATGTCACACGTAATGGCGGAGGGGGCTTCGGCCTTGCAGGCGCAGCTTCAAGCTTTCCTCCAGCAACTCAACCAACCCCACAACATTTCAGGTACAACCCGTTCGGCCCAACCGGTGGGGAACAAAAGTCAGGGTGCACCCGGTTGGCTGTTGTCAAACCAGCTTGGTCCGGGGGCTTCGCCAAGGAGTCAAGGACCACAGCTCGACTTCAGCAATGCCACTCAAGCACCAACCATTCGACCACAGGCACCGACACTAGGCTTCAGAACAAATCAGGCACCGAACCAGGTCGCCATGGCATGGACCCAGCCTTCGTTCGACCCATCCATGACGGCACACCAAGCGTCACCGTTCGGGGCCAGGCAGCCGAACACTGTGGCCCAACCACACGCGCAAGCCATGACTTTGCCCTTCGCCACGCCATATCCACAGCCAAACGGGCCTTCGCAGCAAGGTGCTCACCCTAGTTCAAGTTCCCACCCGTTCCGCGATACTCGGGCGAAACGGACCCAAAAGAGTTTCTGTCCATCTACGAGTCCACGATTGAAGCTGCTCGCGGCGACAAAAATACCAAGGCAAAGGTAATCCATCTCGCTCTAGATGGCATCGCCCGCTCTTGGTACTTAAATTTACCAGCTAATAGCATTTACTCATGGGAGCAATTGTGCGATGTCTTTGTCCTTAACTTTCGAGGCACCTATGAGGAGCCGAAGACGCAACAACATCTACTCGACATTCGCTAGAGGCCGGGAGAATCAATAACAGAGTACATACGCCGTTTCTCGCAAGCCCGATGCCAAGTTCAAAATATATCCGAAGCGTCTGTCATCAATGCCACTTCGGCTGGGCTGCTTGAAGGTCAACTCACAAGAAAAATCGCCAACAAGGAGCCGCAGACACTCGAGCACCTGCTTCGTATCATTGACGGGTACGCAAGAGGCGAAGAGGATTCCAAGCGACGGCAAGCAATCCAAGCCGAATACGATAAGGCCTCCATCGCCGCCGCTCAACCCCAAGTACAAGCATAGGTAGCCGAACCGGCTTCCCTCACCATTCGCCAACCTCAGTCGGCGAACCAAGGACAACCGCCAAGGCCGAGTCAAGCTCCCATGAATTGGAGGAAATTCAGAACTCACCGCGCGGGCAGGCCGTGATGGCTGTCAAAGAAGTCCAAGCCCTCCGCAAGGAGTTCGACGCCCAGCAAGTAGGCAGCCATCAACAGCCCATTCGCAAGAAGGTCAGGAAAGACTTGTATTACGCCTACCACAGACGATCCTCACACACCACCGAGCAATGCCGAAACATTCGACAGCGTGACAATGCTCAAGATCCAAGGCCACAACAAGGGGCAGCTGTCGAAGCACCTCGCGAAGCTGCTCAAGAACAACTACCCCGGCCCGAACAGCGCCAAGACGTGCAGCGCAGAGTAATTCAAGTGATTACAAGGGCCGCTCCGCCAGTTCAACTATCAAAACGGCAGAAGAAGATGCAGCTGCGAATGGTGCACAATATCACTTCAGCGGGCGAAGGAGCTCCGAGGTACTTGAATCAGCAAATCTCTTTCGGGCCAGAAGATGCCAAAGGAGTGCTATTCCCACATCAAGACCCCCTGGTGATCTCGGCCGAGGTAGCCGTCTTTGAAGTCCGGCGAATCCTGGTCGACGGAGGAAGTTCGGCCGATGTCATCTTCGCCGAAACATATGCCAAGATGGGGTGGCCAACCCTAGCCCTCACCCAAGCACCAGCCTTGCTTCGTGGTTTTGGCGGTGAAGCAGTTCAAGTCCTAGGCCAAGTACATATGGTGGTAGCTTTCGGCACAAATGAAAACAGTCCCGAAGAGCAAATATTGTTCGACGTCGTCGACATCCCATACAACTACAATGCCATCTTCGGCCGCGCAACCTTGAACAAGTTCGAAGCCATCTCCCACCACAACTATCTCAAGCTCAAGATGCCTGGTCCGACAGGCGTCATCGTGGTCAAGGGGCTTCAACCTTCGGCTGCATCTAAGGACGATTTGGCTGCAATCAACAGGGCAATGCACAGTGTGGAGGCCGAACAGCATGACCATGCAAAACGCATGTCGAAGCCCACCCCTCATGGCAAGGTGGTCAAGATGTAGGTCGACGATGCCGATCCCACAAAATTTGTCCTGCTTGGGGGCGACTTGGGCGAAAAAGAAGCCGAGAACATCCTGGAGGTGCTCAAGAAGAACATTGACATCTTCACCTGGAGCCCCGACGAAGTGGGAGGTGTTTCGACAGACCTCATCATGCATCATCTAGCGGTCAAGCCGGATGCCAATCCAAGGAAACAGAAACTGCGCAAGATGTCCGCTGATCGCCAAGTGGCAGCAAAAGCCAAAGTGCAAAAGCTGCTCAAGGCTAGGGTGATCCAAGAGATCGACCAACCCGAGTTGTTGGCGAACCCGATTTTGGTGAGGAAGTCTAACGGGAAATGGTTTTAGTGTAAGTGCTCAAGTTTTATGCCCAATAATGCAAGTTGTCTATATACCACAATTAATAGCACTGTCCATCCATATAGTTCTATTAGCACTAAGCATGGCTAAGCATTAATGAATAAGACATCCCAAGTAATCCCAACCAGTGGTAATAGGGTATAAGGACCGCAATATCACAAGAACTAAATGCATAAATAGGTTCTGCCCATACACCATAAACCAACAATATTAATATCTAGGCAATACATGCATATATATACGTATAGATTGCAACCAAATCATTTTTAGAGAAAGCATAGGTTCTATATGCTTAGGTGCTTGCCTTGCTGCTGTGTGGAAACACACTCAACCTCTGAGTCTTGCTCCACGTACTCCGAATTCTCCGAATCTACCAATAAGAGGCAAGTATGCAAATAAGATTCAAATAAACATACATGTGCAACATGCTCTATAAATCATGGCCTAATTACAGTAGGTAGAGAGTATGATAAACTAATTTTAGAAACAAGAATCATCTCATTTACATTTATGGTTTGAGAGGTATAACAATAACAAGCCATATACACTGTAAATGGCATTTCTGTAATTACATAAGAACTACCCTACGTCATATAAAAGCTGACATTTTCTAGCTAGTTTAAACAAGCTACCGTTTTCAAGTAACAGAGCATAACTCACTCGTTCTAACAAAAATTGGTTCACTACATTTGGAGTTAAAATATTTAGTTATGAATTTTACAACTTTAATAAAAAGAGGATTACTTAATCGTTTTAGACTTACTTTAGGAGGTAGTTTTGTCAAATTATTCCTGTTCAGATAAAAGATTACATCTTTATAAGGTAACCAAAAGTGGTTTCATAATTTTAGGATATAGCATAAAGTTCCTAGAGATTATACAACTCCTAGGTGCAAAAATAAGTGTTTTTATGAAACTCACAATTTTAGTGACTTTTTCAGTACCGAAGTTGTAAAGTTTTAATTTACAAACATAAAGACTACAAATTTATAAATACATAGAAATTTGGTTCACTCGAAAATGAGTTAAGATGAATTAGTTATGGATTTTTGAAGTTTTCCTAGTTCTCATATGTTTTCAATTATTCTTTTGGACTGTACTTTTGCATGCCGAACCCTGGGATTTCTAAAACTTGCAACCAGGTCCAGCTTCTTCTCCACTCGAGCAGGAAGCAGCGACAGCCATGGTTGAGCTCTATCTCAAGCTCGCCGGCGGCAAACGGCGGCTCTAATGGGGGCGAGGTCAAAAGACAAAATGTAGAGCAAGACATTGTTCCTCAACTTTTCCCAAACGGTGGTGGCCGAACCGGCGCAGGCGGCGGCTGCAAGCTGCAGCAAGTTCGTGACACCATGCATGCAGCGTTGCGACACTATGGATGGCTCGATCTATTGCATGCATATCAAGAACATCACATGCAAGAAAAACAATACATTAAGGACTTTATCCTACTGCTAAGAAACTACATTTTAGCTTGAGGTGAAGTGTTTAAACCTCACCAAAACAGGGAAGTAAAGAAGACACCGAGCTCTGTCAGTCAAGGAGAGAAAAACAGCTTTGCAACTTGCTCCTAGCCTTAAAATCTTCAACCGGTGACCTGTGGAGGAGGCTAGGCAAGCTCAGCATAATGGCACACACAAGAGGGACAGGGGCGGATCCAGAAACAAAAAGTTGGGGACTCAACATACCGAGTACACCGATATAAATACATAATCTCAGTATTAAACTATGCTAAAATGCTATTATGAGATCTTTAGCACCTCCTATCTTATCAACTATGATGAAAAAATTGAAGGGGGGCTTAGGGGGTATCCATGGATTTTGTGGGTGCAGGGGGGACTCACGTTGGATCTGCCCCTGAAGAGGGACACCATGGAAGGGAAGGAAACTCACCAAGTGAAGGAAAAACAGGGTTGTTTTGCTGCTGCAATCCGCAGGAAGCTCTACCTATCTTCTTCCGGATCTCCCTCACCAACCCATGCATGTGCAAGATGTTTGGATGGATGGAAAGCTTAGAATCATGGGGATCTAGTGGTGTGACATGCAGGGCTCGATTCTTTCATTTGGAGGAGATTAGGCGAGGGGGAAAAGAGGAGGGAGCTCAGCTTGCAAGAAGGAAAAGAAACAGACAAGGGAGAAAGAAAGGGCAAGAAGATGAAACTGTTTATGTGCTTTGCCTTATGGATCTGAGGAGGAGCATGACTTGGAGAGTGGATAGGGCTTGGTGGAGAGCCTAAGTCAGTGATAGGTGTGACCAAGTTAAGCTGGGCCCACGGGACAGACAAAGGAAGGTTAGAAACATAGGTACACATTGAAAATAGTGAATTTTCTGGAATTTTCTTTCTCTCCTTCCTGGGCAACCAGTTTGACCTAGCTATAAGAGTGCCAAAAATGTGTGTTCTCGTGTGGAGATAGCCTGAGTTACCTAGTTTCCAGTTTTCAAAGTTTCACTATAAAATTCGAAATATTTTAATTCGGGAAAAAAGGTGAATAAGGGTATGCTGAGAAATAAATTGAATTTTAAGGAGGTCAAAACTAAGTGTAAAAATTCTAGAAAAATTTTATTAACTTTTGATAAATAAACTAGTATTTGAATAAATTATAAAACATATATCCTTCTGTTCAACTTTAGGCACATTTAGAAGTTGCTTCATTTTGCTAATTAGGTTTCTAATTAATTTAATTTGACTACCTTGACTGCTTTACTTGAGGTAGTAAAAAGAAGAAAATTATGAAACCTTCATAGTGGTCATCTTAGGTTGTCTAAGTGACATGAGGATCTTCATGGATTTTATTTTGCTTAGATTTGTTATATAAAGTCTCTGGGTTTATTTAACATGTATCAACCAATTATGAATGACAAAAAATCATTACAAACAAGTACACAAGCACACAATCACTAGGTACTAATTCTACTAGCCAATTGCTAAGCATGGTCAGGTAGATTATCCAAAGAGTGAAAGATTAACAACTATACTACAACGCTTCTTAACTACCGCTTGATCATTTAATTTGGTTATATACATAGAGGCTTGGACAAAGCTTAGAAGCTAAAAAGTAGAAAATAACAGAGTTTCATGGGATTATCTAGTATTGAGTCAGCTTGGTCTCTTGAAACATGGTTCCCCTTGTGGAAGAGAAAACACAAATTAGTCGAGCTACTCCTTGAAAGTGTTGGTAGATTTTATTAGCGCCAAAACACTCTCTGAACGTTGGAAGAGTCTATAAAAAAAAGTTTCCGTTTATCTACCACAAGATTAATTGTAGGGTCATTAGTCTACCCTATAATTATCACTAAAATTTCTTAATAACTCAAACCAACAGTTTGGGAAAATGGTTTCAATTTCTACCCATGTTTTTTATACACAAATTAACCGGATGAGGTTTTGAACCCAAATAGCTTTAAAACTTCCAACTTTTACTAAGGACATACCCCGATTTCCACTTAAGTTGATTAATTAAAACTTCAGGATGTTACAGGAAAGTTTAGCTGGACGCCCGAATGCCAAGCTGCGTTCGACGAGCTAAAACAATATCTGCAAAGCCCACCCGCCTTGGTCAGCCCAACACTGGGAAGCGAACTGCTGCTCTATCTAGAAGCTTCACCGGTGGCGGTCAGTGCAGCTCTCGTCCAAGAAACAGAGTTAGGCCAGAAACCAGTGTATTTCGTCTCCGAAGCTTTGCAAGGGGCGAAGATAAGATACATTGAAATGGAAAAGCTTGCTAACGCCCTAGTGATGGCTTCGCGCAAACTTAAGCACTACTTTCAGGCCCACAAAGTCACTGTGCCATCGCAGTATTCTTTGAGCGAAGTGCTCCGGGCCATGGAAATTACTGGCCGACTCAGCAAGTGGGCGGCGGAGTTATCTCCCTTCGACCTGCATTTTGTCACCCGCACTACCATCAAGTCCCAAGTCCTAGCTGACTTCGTGGCTGAATAGACACCGCCATTCGCCCCTGAACCCCAGCCCGTCGAACAACCTTGGGTAATGCACTCCGACGGCTCGTGGTCGCACAAGGGGGCGTGCGCCGTGGCAGTACTCACTTCGCTAGGGGGCGTGCCGATTCGGTATGCCGCAAGGCTGCAGTTCGACACGACCAACAACACGGCAGCGTACGAAGCTGTACAGTTGGGTCTAAGAAAGGCGGAAGCATTGGGGGTTCGGTGCTTGCTCATCCGAACAAACTCTAAACTGGTGGCAAGTCATGTTGACAAATCCTTTGAGGCAAAAGAAGAAGGAATGAAGATGTATCTGGAGGCTGTTCGATCTATGGAAAAGTGCTTCACCGGCATAATGGTCTAACACTTACCTAGAGGGCAGAACGAGGAAGCAGATACCCTGGCGAAATCTACTGCCTGTGGTGGCCCGCATTCACCAGGCATCTTTTTTGAAGTCTTGTACGCACCAAGTGTGCCCACAGAAAGCCTGGACGTCATGGCAATCGACCAGGCAGAACTGGGCGAAGACCCAGAAGACTGGCGAACACCGTTCGTGAAGTACCTCAAGAACGGTTGGCTCCCAGAGGATGAAGAAGAAGCGAAACGCCTACAGCTCAGAGCCACAAAATACAAGCTGGTCTCGGGGCAGCTGTATCGCTCCTGGGTACTCCAACCCTTGCTTCGCTGCATCTCCTTTGCCAAAGGTGAGGAAATGGTGAAAGAAATACACCATGGGCTGTGCGGTGCACATCAGGCCGCAAGAACGGTTGCCTCCAAAGTGTTTCGCCAGGGTGTGTATTGGCCCACCGTGCTGAAAGTTTGTGTTGAGCAAGCTAAGAAGGGCGAAAGCTGTCAGCGGCATGGCCGAAGCCAAACTGCACCCCAATATGAGCTGCAACCTATCGCACCAGTCTGGCCTTTCGCCAGATGGAGGCTAGACATCATTGGCCCTTTCCCTGTGGCGCGAAATGGGTACAAGTTCGCAATTGTAGCCATCGAGTACTTCTCTTGTTGCATCGAGGCCAAATCACTCGGCGCGATCACTTCGGCAGTAGTACAGAAGTTCGTGTGGAAGAACATTGTTTGCCATTTTGGAGTGCCAAAAGAATTCATCACTGACAACGGCAAGCAATTGATAAGTTCAGAGAAATGTGCGAAGGGCTAAACCTGGAAATCATGTTCGCTTCTGTCGCGCACCCACAGTCAAATGGGGCGGCCGAACGTACGAATGGTAAGATCCTTGAGGCGCTCAAGAAAAGGCTAGAGGGGGCGGCGAAGGGTAAATGGCCAGACGAAATGCTATCTGTTCTCTGGGCCCTTCGGACGACCCCCACAAGGCCAACCAAGTTCAGCCCATTCATGCTTCTCAATGGTGACGAAGCAATGACCCCAATAGAGCTAGGGGCTAATTCGCCAAGGGTCATATTCTCTGGAGGCGAAGATGGGCGCGAGGTGTCACTCGAACTCCTCGAGGGGGCGAGAGTCGAAGCACTAGAACACATGCGCAAATACGCCACAAGCACTTCGGCAACTTACAACAAAAAAGTTCGACCGACAGAGCTATTGCCTGGCCATCTCGTCCTAAGGAAGAAGGCGAACCCGGTGGTGGTCAGGAAGCTTGAATCGAAGTGGGAGGGACCATACCTCATCAAGCCCGTTCATGCTCCTTTCGCCTAGCGACGCTGGAAGGCAAAGAGTTCGACCACTCCTGGAACGCTACTTCCCTTAAGTGCTTCTATGTTTAGAAGGGGTGGCACCCCATTCACCAAGTTGTAAAAATGTACATACTATTGTATAGGCCTTTCGGCACAAAAATACAAAAAAAAAGAAGAAAGTGAAAAAAGAAAAAAACTGGATGTAGGGCTATTATCCACCCTGGAGGCCCGAACCAGTATAAAATCTTTGTGTCTTTCGCCTTTTTACTTGTTTGAATGATAATTCGTGGAAAAACCCCAAGGCAAACGCCTGATCAGTGAAAATGCCAGGGGAGCGAAACGAATCGGCCGAAGCATCGCTCGCTGAACGTTGAAACCGCAACAGCTTGTTTCGGGAAATAAATAATCGAACACCGTTACACTCGATTTATGTGAAAACACATGCGCCTTTTTCAGCGCGGAATACCACAGATCGAAAACGGAAGTTGAAAGCTGAAAAGTCAGCAGACCTATTTCGCTAATATACGCAAAGGGCCGACATGTTCCGACCTAACAAAAGCACGAAAGGTGATAATGCAAACAATAGAGAAAAGGAAGTAAAATACACCTTCATTAACTTCAAAAATAATCGAAGAGTACATGACATACAACCTGATACAGGTGAAAGAATGTAATGGGCTTTCCAGCCTAGCCTACAAAAAAATTACATCTTCACCCCCAAAACACCCGCCACTTCCTAAGGAATGATCCGGCGAACACAGTTCGTCATCACTACTAATGTTATACACTACCCTAAGAGGAGAAGGGGGCGAAATACAAGCTAGACTATAAAGGCGCTGGGCGATCGCTTCTTGACGATCGGTGCTCTGGTGGTTTCGCCAAAAGCGAACCATGTCCTCTAGACGTTCCACGTGGACACGGTCGTAGTCCTCCAGGGTTCGCCCGGGGTGCACTCGCATCCAGCAAGCAACTTTCAAGACCTTTGTAACTATTGTCGTTTATTATCATCTCACGGTAGATAAGCCGGAATGGACACCGGACCTTCGGCAAAGCCTTCACCGCAACAAACTTCTCGTTTTTGCTTCGCCAATTCCCAAAGGGGGGCCGAACACACAATTTTCGGCGAAGACCCTGATAAGACAGCATAGAAAAGCAAATGGCAAAGCGCAAAGTTAAAGCTAGGCAAAACACATAGAGTGGGTGAAGAGAGTAAACCCTCTTTCGTATGCGAAATGATGCAAGCATGTGTACCAAAGGCATCAAACATAATAGTTGGCTAAACTTGTCATCTATTTCATATATTAAAAAGGCAGTTTTTGGCTACAATAAGAAAGGGAGAGGGCCATCAGCCAAATTTACATCGTTTGCCCTCCACGGCAAACGCCAAAAGAAAACTACCAAATCTAAAGAGCGGGTGGAGGGCCTCACACCTCTGGGTGATCTTGGGCATCGCCTCCACCCTCTTCGGCCGCCGGCTCTTCGTCCTAGTTCGCCGCCTCCGCCTTCGCCAAGTGTTCAAGCAGACGCGCCTTAGCAGTGGATCGGCCGTCCTTTTGCCAGAACTGTTTGCGCCAAGCACGAAGTGCAGGCG